AGAAATTTGATGGAACAATGATAATCAATGGGACAGGGTAATATCAGGGTACAAATAAATAAGGAGGACAGAACAGGTCGTGCTGGTGGGGGAGTGGCACTATATGTGAAAGAAAGCGTAGAATCAAATGAAGTAAAAGTCTTAAAGGAACCAAACTGAACCACAGAATCTCTATGGATAGTAATTCCATGCTCTAATAATAAGAATATAGAAGTAGGGATATGTTACCGACCACCTGACCAGGATGGTGATAGTGACCGTGAAATGCTCAGGAAGATTAGAGAGACTATAAAAATAAAAAACTCAGTAATAATGGGGGATTTCTATTATCTCCATATTGACTGGGCACATGTCACCTCAGGACGGGATGCAGAGATAAAGTTTCTTGACACCTTAAATGGCTGTTTCTTGGAGCAGCTGGTCCTGGAACCCACAAGGGGAGGGGCAATTCTTGATTTAGTCCTAAGTACAGCACAGGATCTGGTCCAAGAGTGAACATAGCTGAACCGCTCAGTAATATTGACCATAATGTAATTAAATTTAACATCCTTGTAGGTGGGAATATGTCAAAAAAACCCTCCACAGTAGCATTTAACTTCAAAAAAGGGGAACTACACAAAAATGAGGAAGCTAGTTAAATAAAAATTAAAAGGAACAGTCAAAAGGGTGAAATGTCGACAAGCTGCATGGAAACGATTTAAAAACTCCGTAATAGAGGCCCAAATAAAAAAAAGAGAAGGACGACCAAAAAAAATGCCACCACGGTGAAACAGCAGAGTAAAAGGAGTCATTAGTGGCAAAAAGACACCCTTTAAAAATTGGAAATCTAATCCTACAGAGGAAAATAAAAAGGAGCATAAACTCTGGCTAGTAAAGGGTAAAAGTATAAGGCAGGCCAAGAAAGAATCTGAAGAACAACTGGCTAAGGACACAAAAACCAAAAGCAGAATATATTTTAAGTACATGAGAAGCCTGCCAAAGAAGTCAATGGGACCACTGGACGATCAAGGTGCTAACAGAGCACTCAAAGAAGACCAGGCCACTGCAGAGAAGCTAAATGAATTATTTGCATCAATCTTCAGTGCAGAGGAGCTACAATTCCATGACTCACCTGCATGAGGCCACACCAGGGGAATTGCTCAACCTTGCCAGGGGACTCAGAAATGCCCCCCAGACATGCCTGGATTTGTGTTCTCCAAGCACATGGGACTGGGGGTATAAAACAGAACACAGGGGCCCCATGCTTGGCTTTCTCCTGCCCCTCCCCCACCCCCCATGCTGCAAGCAACCAAGACACTCAGAAGAAGACTCCAACAGATGAGGCTGGCCCAAGTTCAAGGGACAAATCTGTATATTAACAACTGCAATGCCAAGTGGGATGGGAAAAACTGCTTAATCTAGATGTTGCCCAACCTAATAGGGTTGAGAGTTTAGACTACATGTTTGTATTTTATTTTGGCAATCAACTCTGACTTTTTGCCTATCACATATAAATTTGTTTAACTGTTTATCTTTACCAGTGAGTTTGTATGAAGTGTGTGGCAAAGGCTGGTGTATATCCATTTTCCATTGATGAAGTGGGGAACCAATTAACAAATCTGCACTGCTCATCTTGAGCAGCACGGGATGGTATAGTCCTGAGGTACCGTGCTGGGAGCTGGGGGGATTTGGCAGGTGCCTTTCTCTGTGTGATTCGCGAGTGGCTCTGGGAGCATTCATGCGATCTAGCTGGGTGTGGGGCTCCACATGCTGTTGGCTGAGTGATCACCGCACCTGGAGGGGTTTGCTGCTGGTCACTAACAAGGCATTGTGAGAGACAGCCCAGGATGGAGAGAGTTAAGAGGGCACAGCAGTCCCACAGTCCCAGGCTGCACCCCAGGAATCCCGCCAAAACCAGGACCAACAGGTATTCATCCAAAAGTCCTAAAGGAACTCAAATATGAAATTGCAGAACTGCTAATTGTGGTATATAACCTAGCATTTAAATCAGTCTTTGTATCAGATGGCTGAAGGGTAGCTAAGGTAAGCCAATTTTTAAAAAAGACTTCAGAGGTGATCCTGGCAATTACAGGCCAGTAAGCCTAACTTCAGTACCAGGCAAATTAGTTAAAACTATAGTAAGGAACAGAATTATCAGACACGCTGTTGAACATGATTTATTGGACAAGAGTCAACACATCTTTTGTAAAGGGAAATCATGCCTACCAATCTATTAGATTTCTTTGAGGGTAGCAACAAGTGTTTGGACAAGGGTGATCCAGTCAATATAGTGTACTTGGACTTCTGGAAAGCCTTTGACAAAAGCTATTCAGCAAAGTAAGCTGTCATGGGATAAGAGGGAAGGTCCTCTCATGGATCAGTAACTGGTTAAAAGAGAAGAAACAAGGAGTAGGAATCAATGGTCAGTTTTCACAGTGAAGAGAGATAAATAGCAGGGTCCCCCAAGTATCTGTACATGGACATGTGCTGTTCAATATATTCACAAATAATATGGAAAAGGGGATGAACAGTGAGACAGCAAAATTTGTAGGCAATACAAAATTACTCAAGATAATTATGTCCAAATCACACTGCGAAGAGCTCCAAAGGGATCTCACTAAACCGAGTGACTGGGCAACAAAATGGCAGATAAAATTCAATGTTGATAAGTGCAAAGTAATGCATGTTGGAAAAAATAATTATAACTATACAGACAAAATGATGGGATCTAAATTAGCTGTTACCACTCAAGAAAGACCTTAGAGTCATTGTGGATAGTTCTCTGAAAACTTCCGTTCAGTTTGCAGCGGCAGTCAAAAAAAGGAATGTTAGGAACCATTAGGAAAGAGATAGATAATTGAAGGGTTAAAATCCATTGCTGATGTATTAACCTGGTATATGGTATATACGAATACATTTATTAAAGTACTAATTAAATGTTAAATGTTAATTTGGTAACTTGAGACCATGGGCAGAGACATCATGTAACCTTTGACCATTGGCTACTGTGCTATCATGTCTTGCTGCTAGACCTATCCGAGGAAGTGGGACTGCCTACCCCGTCACTTTCCCCCACCCATGGAAAATCCATATATTCCATTATAATCAATTGATTGACAGTGTCTCTGAGCCTAGTAAGCAAGGTGACACTCCGTCAGCGCTATACGTAATAAACTCCTGTGCTTGACCTCTACATGGTGTGGATTTATGTCCTTCAATAATAGAACAGAAAATATTATAATGGCACTAAATAAATCCATCCTATGCTCACATATTGAATACTGAGTGCAGTTCTCGTTGCCCCATCTTAAGAGCTATGTTAGAATTGGAAAAGGTACAGACAGAGAAAAGCAACAAATACGATTAGGAGTACAGAACAGCTTCCATACAAGGATGGATTGAAAAGACTGGGACTGTTCAGCTTCTGAATGAGACAACTAAGAGGGGAGATGACAGAGGTCTATAAAATCATGACTGGTGGGGAGAAAGCAAATAGGAAAGTGTTATTTACCCCTTCACATAACACAAGAACTAGGGTCACCCAATGAAATCAATAAGCAGCAGGTTTAAAACTTACAAAAGGAAGAACTTCATCACACAACGCACTGTCAAGCTGTGGAACTCATTGCCAGGGGATGTTGTGAAGGCCAAAAGTATAACTGGGTTCAAAAATGAACAAGATAAGTTCATGGAGGGCAGGTACATAAACGGCTATTAGCCAATATGGTCCAGGATTCAACCCCATGCTCGAGGTGTCCTTAAGCCTCCAACTACCAGAAGCTGGGACTTTATGATGGGATGGGTCCCTTGAAATTGCCCTGTTCTGTTCATTCCCTCTGAAGCACCTGGCCTCTATCGGAGATAGGATACTGGTCTAGAGGGACCATCAGTGTGGCCCAGTATGGCTGTTCTTATGTCCTTAATTACAGCCTTAGTCATTTTCCCTGGTGCCCAGGTGATGCTCATGTGTTTGTTGTTCCCAGGATCCACACCACCACCTTTACAAAGAGAAGTACCAGCCAATGAGGAGTTGGTGTCAGACCTGAGGATCATTCCCTGAAAGACCAGTGTGTGACTGGGAAATAATAGGAGAGAACGTGTGTTATATTGTTCCCATGCATTCAGTTCAATAAATCTAAATGAAACAGCATTCTGGCAGCTTTCCCATGTGACCCTAGCAGTGGCTGTCTGCCTGGATATTGCCCAACCTCACCCAGCTCTCCACTGTTCCGTCAGCAAGATGGCAGTATCAAACAGTACCAAACCCTGGCATGGTGGAGGGGGTGAAAGATGGTGCTGGGTTCTACAGGACAATGGAACTGCACCTACTTCTAGGCAGGAGTGAGTGAGTACTGCCAGGAAGTCAGTTCGGCTATAGTGGATGTTCGATTGTCTGCAATATGCCACCTCTATGTCTTCGTCCTCAAAATACGCTCCATTCTCATAGCAACAACAAAGTCAACTATGGCATCTGATGTACTCACAGGTTTCCTGAGGCACGGAAATAGATTGGGGGTGGGAGGAGAGAAAAGGAAATGAACCCCTGCTGCATGAACTCTGGGCACATGCCCCTTTGGTAGCCAGGACAGCTCCTAATCTCCGAGGTGCTTGGTTAGGAAGTTGCAGAGCCTCAGAGATCAGGTTACTGCACTGTATCTTCACACTCCGCAGATCAGCCCGTTCCCACTCAAACAGTGTCCCTGCTCCCCGCAACCATGGAGAGACAAAGCAGGGTCCCTGACTAGCTCCAAGAGCTGGGACTTCCCAGGAACACCAACATGTCAGGTCAGCTACATCCAGCACCACCTGTCACAGCAAACTCCACTGAAGGAGGCAGGCCTGGTCCAATATCAGCTTCGCTGAGGCTGAGATCGCACCAACCCACGCACACAAACCCAGCAGCCCCTTCCAGTTCTCTCACAACTCCAGCACAGGAGCTCACAAACTCAGCAAGGAACCACAGTGGGCTGCCGGGTGAGCACCAAGCGACCTATCTCCCTCATCCCCACGCCCTCTCTTACCTGGCCTTGCCTCGGCTGCTTCTCCTGAGTGTGTGCATGTCGGCCTCCTTCTCTTCCTGCACGCGCTGCAGAGATGGGGAGCGGCTGTGAGTGCTCCGGGAGCTGCCCGTGCTCGCCAGGCTACTGTCCCCCACCCCCGCCCCAACAGCAGCTTCCTGCATCTGTGCCAGCAGCTGTGGGGGCAGGCTGCGGAGCGAGGGCACTGGTGAGTAGGACGGGTGGCTCTCGGCTTTCAAATTGTTGTCGCTGGCAGAACGCTGCAGCATGCGGGGGGAGGAGAGGCCGCCTGCGCCAGTGATCCGTCTCCTCTTTGTGTAGCTGGGAGTTTCTCTAAAAGGCACTGCAAGAAACCAAGCAAAGAGAGTCCCATCAGTTACCAACCGCGCAAGAAGCTAAACGCAGCTTTGCAGTGCTCAACATCTCTGAAAATATTCATTTCTACCAATAATGATGTTGATTGCCAAGAGAAAATGCGTAGTCTGGTTTATTTCCAGTGCTGGCCTCTTGCTCCTAGGGTTACCAGGTGCTGAGAGCCAGTGCTGAGAAGCAGCACAGTGAGTTTCCGGAGACACAAGTCACCCATCATGCCATGTTTCTGTTAATTGGGGTTCAGGATAATGGAACGAAGGTGAATCTCACCCAGTCCTGTTTGGCTAGAAAGATGGTGAAGGTGCAAGGCCTGCTGCAACCCCCCAGGCAGGGAAGGAGAGGGGAACATAGAGGGAACGTGGGAATTGCCAAACTGGGTCAGACTCATGGTTCATCCATCGAGTCCAGAATCCTGGCTCTGACACCACTCCAGGCATCCGCCTATTAGCCTTTCACCAGGAGGAAAACTGACCACTCATAGGGAGGTGTGTAGAATGGACTCTCCCTCCAATTCCTTCACAACTCTCGCCGCACCGACTCTTAAGTGCCCTGTCATGACCCCAGGCTCCCTGTGCCCCAGGCTCGGGGCAGCTGCTGCCACCCGCAAGGTTTACATTTGGAAATTACACCTCCTCTCATCCCTCACTTTGCTCCCTCATTCCGAAGTCCTGTCCTCAAGCGTGGGGAGCTGACTGATAAAAACAATGGATGCTCTTCCCAGGCCACTGCACAAACATCCCAGGAAACTCCAGACTTGGTGAATGAACCCATGAATGAGCAAATTTAGAGTCCCTCCGGACAGGTCCGAAACAGCCCTCCTCCAGCTGGCAAGCCTTAGCACTCTGACCAAATGGCTATCGCCCGACTGCTAGAATTCCCACTAACATCCCACAGCAGCTCCCAGAAACCCAAAGGGCCTTGGGAGTCCTCAATGGCTGGATCGCTGCCTCAGGTCCAAAGCACAGGTCTGACATTCCAACAACTCCCTACATAACACACCACTAACTGAGCATGTCACCCAACAGTCTCCACAGCCTGAGTCCACCATTCCCGCCTCTGTCCCCACTCCCTCACCACTGCGCTGCCCGAACCCTCCAGCATCCCCACCTCCTCCTGTGTGCCTTTATGACACCCAGGAAGCTACTGAAAGAGCCACCTTCTACCTCCGTAAAGAAAATGTTACGGATACTGTGGAGACTGGACAGAGGGACGTGGAGGTAGCAGAAGCATCAGAGGCCTTGTCTACACTAGGGGCTTGTTTACACAGGTGGTTTAATATGCAGCTTTTTACTTAGTCCAGTTTGAAACCGCTTGTTTACACGCAACGCAATCCATCACAGTGCACTGACTGCATTTATCACAAGCTCTGGAGTTCTCTTTTAAACTGCAAAGCCAGTCAGTCTGGGCTATGACTCCTGTGCATGAAACGGTGCTGCAATCTCCTTTGACAGTCTTCGAACAGCTGACCCCCTCTGCTTTGTGGGCGATGGTTTCTGACCTGTTTCCCTGTGGGCCCTCCTCTGCTCTCGAGTCAAGCTGATCAGATGTCCCGTCACCCCATTTATAAGCTGGGGTACTGCCAGATTTTGTCCATTCACTACTGGATTCCAGTTTAGCACAAGAGCTTCAAAAGTATTCCAGCAGCCCTACAAAATGCCTGGAGTTGCTGCATGGACCTGTGCTGAGACCCCAGATCTCATTGCAATCTGGGGAGAAGCCCTGGTGCAGGAAGAGCTTGTGGCCAGGCACTGGAAGACATTTTTGTGGACATTGCTAGGCCATGCCCAGGACGCAGAACAGTGCTAGATAAGGAGACAGCTAGCTCAGAAGCACCTACATTAAAATGAGGAATGACAATAATGAGGGATGACGAGGGGACATGTAACCAGTCCATTTTTTGAGGCGCTGGACAACATTTTGCAAACTCCATGACCATTGAACCCTGGCAGCTTGTGGCGCCTGCTGGCTGCCTTCCCCCAAGGATGGTCAGCAAGAGTCATGGGGGGATGAGCTTGAGAAGGCCAGTGGAAAGATCTCCCCTTTAAGCCAGGATCCCTTTGGGACTTGGGACCTTAGAATCCTAGAAGATTAGGGTTGGGAGAGACCTCAGGAGACCTCCTTTGTGCAGGAGACATGGAAGGCAAGCCTGATTCCCTCCCTGCAGCAACCAACCCCAATTCCCAGACTAGGGCTGAGGCAGCTTATCCTATGGAGAGAACATCAACATATAAATTTTCCTGTAACTTTGTTACTAATTTACTATTTAAGTTTTAATTTATTATTAGTAAGCTACACTGCCGTGCTATCTTCTGTTCTGGGTGACCCCAGCCGCACCCCATTGTAGACGGATGCGAGCTAGAAGCTTCTCCATGTCAAGATCCCTTCCCCTCCCTCCCTCCCTCGGCCCATGCTGTCCATTCAGACCCTGCACAAGCACCTTTCCAAAACAGTGACTGCTTCATTGGGCAAAAACAAAGAGTGCAAAGGCACCGAGTACTAACTGTATCCAGGCTCATGCTGTTGATGGCACGTAACAGGTGGGGCAGGAAAGCCTGGCAGGCCAAGCAAACTGCTTTGAGCTCTCTGACATTTATGTGGAGGGAGCGATTGTCCCGCGACCAGCAGCCTTGTATGCTATCCTCGCCCAGGTGGGCTCCCCAGCCCAGGTCCAAAGCACTGGAGAGCAGGGTCAGTGACGGGGAAGAAGCCACAAAGGGAACTCCCTCCAACACTGATACAGAGTCTTTGAGATACAGATAGACCTGGACATCTCGACACCTCAGATAAGCAGCCACTAGCGCCTTGCATTTTATGAACACTCATGGGGCCAATGAGAGTCCAAAGGGGAGCGCCATGAATTGGAAGTGACACAGACCCACCACAAAACGGAAGAACTGTCTGTGCCCTTGGAAGATGGAGATATGAAAATATTCGTCCTTCAAGTTCAAGGCAGTGTACCAGTCTCCAGGATCCAGGGAGGGAATTGTTAGTTAGCCTAGGATAGAATTTTGGGTTTGACTTTTTGATACTCTTATACCAATATGTGTAAACAAAGGACAAAGGCACTGTGATGTTGCTTCTGCCTAGTCAGATGGATTTGGGTAAACAGAGAGGTGGCAAAGTTTGTAGAAGATACTAAACTGCTCAAGATAGTTAAGACCAAAGCAGACTGTGAAGAACTTCAAAAAGATCTCACAAAACTAAGTGATTGAGAAACAAAATGGCAAATGAAATTTAATGTGGATAAATGTAAAGTCATGCACATTGGGAAAAATAACCCTAACTATACATATAAAATGATGGGGGCTAATTTAGCTACAACTAATCAGGAGAAAGATCTTGGAGTCATCGTGGATAGTTCTCTGAAGACGTCCACGCAGTGTGCAGCGGCAGTCAAAAAAGCAAACGGGATGTTAGGAATCATTAAAAAAGGGATAGAGAATAAGATGGAGAATATCTTATTCCCCTTATACAAATCCATGGTACGCCCACATCTTGAATACTGCGCACAGATGTGGTCCCCTTATCTCAAAAAAGATATACTAGCATTAGAAAAGGTTCAGAAAAGAGCAACAGGTTCACCGGGGAAGGAGACCAAAGCCTGAGGTAGTGGGAAAGCGGGATACCGGGAGGAGCACAGGCAGGATGTCTGTGAGGGGAGGGCTCCTGCCTCATACTGAGAATGAGGGGCGATCAGCAGGTTATCTCAAGTGCTTATATGCGAATGCACAAAGCCTTGGAAACAAGCAGGGAGAACTGGAGGTCCTGGTGATGTCAAGGAATTATGATGTGATTGGAATAACAGAGACTTGGTGGGATAACTCACATGACTGGAGTACTGTCATGGATGGTTATAAACTGTTCAGGAAGGACAGGCAGGGCAGAAAAGGTGGGGGAGTAGCACGATGTAAGGGAGCAGATGACGCTCAGAGTCCGGTCGAACTGCAGAAAACCGAGTGTTCTGGATTAAGTTTAGAAGGTGTGCAACAAGAGTGATGTAGTGGTGGGAGTCTGCTATAGACCACCAGACCAGGGGGATGAGGTAGATGAGGCTTTCTTCCGGCAGCTCACGGAAGCTACTGGATCGCATGCCCTGATTCTCATGGGTGACTTTAATTTTCCTGATATCTGCTGGGAGAGCAATACAGCGGTGCATAGACAATCCAGGAAGTTTTTGGAAAGCGTGGGGACAATTTCCGGCGCAAGTGCTCGAGGAGCCAACTAGGGGGCGTTTCTTGACCTGCTGCTCACAAACCGGGTAGAATTAGTGGGGGAAGCAAAAGTGGATGGGAATCGGGGGCAGTGACCATGAGTTGGTTGAGTTCAGGATCCTGACACAGGGAAGAAAGGTAAGCAGCAGGATACGGACCCTGGACTTCAGGAAAGCAGACTTCGACCCCTCAGGGAACGGATGGCCAGGATCCCCTGGGGACTAACGAAGGGGAAGGAGTCCAGGAGAGCTGGCTGTATTTCAAGGATCCCGTTGAGGTTACAGGGACAAACCATCCCGATGAGTCGAAAGAATAGTAAATATGGCAGGCGACCAGCTTGGCTTAATGGTGAAATCTTAGCGGATCTTAAACATAAAAAGAAGCACAAGAAGTGGAAGGTTGGACATATGACCAGGGAAGAGTATAAAAATATTGCTAGGGCATGTAGGAATGTTATCAGGAGGGCCAAATCGCACTTGGAGCTGCAGCTAGCCAGAGATGTCAAGAGTAACAAGAAGGGTTTCTTCAGGTATGTTGGCAACAAGAAGAAAGCCAAGGAATGTGTGGGCCCCTTACTGAATGAGGGAGGCAAACTAGTGACAGAGGATGTGGAAAAAGCTAATGTACTCAATGCTTTTTTGCCTCTGTTTTCACTAACAAGGTCAGCTCCCAGACTGCTACGCTGGGCATCACAAAAGGGGAAGAGTGCCAGCCCTCGTGGAGATAGAGGTGGTTAGGGACTTTTTAGAAAGCTGGACGT